CAATCTACAGTACATTCATCCACATAGAGAAGTAGTCTTAAAGGGGTCATATGATGCTGCTAAAAAGAACATTATTTTGTGTATTTGGTGTAATGAAATGTGTTTATGCGGTTTAAGGTTCAAAAAACACATTATTTTCCACATACTGTACATTATTGTTTCTCCTCTATGCCCCGCCTTTCTGAAACGCGTGATTCAGACCAGACATAATTAGAATTTTTTCTAGAAAAAGCACATGGACTATTTAATTAATTTACATGACATTTCCAGGTCTAAAAGTGATATTTTCTTATATCCATTTTTAAAATAACTTTAACCCTGGTTCATCCAGAAAGAAAGAAAGAAAGAAATTGCTTGATTTTTAGTTGTTTTAACTTAATTTAATGCTTGTGTAATGCTTAATTTAATGTCTTATTTCAAATAATTCATGTCGTCTCGAGGCCCCCTTAAAAGTTTGCGGAGGCTGAAAACTGCTGGTTTAGACACCTTTAAAGATTACATTGTTTTTATTTGATTAAATTTTTTTTTTTTTTTCAATTTAAATTTAGTTGAATCATGGAAAACCTAAAATATTAATGGATTTTGTAAAAATATAAATTCCCAGGCCTTAAAAATTCATTAAAAAATTAATATAGTGTTAAAAATCATGTAAAGTTGATGCTGTACACGGAGCCTCAGGAAGCTGAATCCTCACTGAGCTGCAATTAAAGTCTTTTTTTATTCTTTTTGTATGCCAATAAATATATTTCTTTAAAATCTATTAATTCAAATAATTGGTACCTAAAATGCAAATGGAACAACCTCTATTCAATTACTGTAAAAAATAATTGTGCAATCATGAACAACTAGAAAGAGTATAGAAATACTTTGCTTCAAAAAAGGGTGGCAACCCTGTATGTTGCATTCTACCAGAGAATTAGTTTAACCAAGGTTTTCTAAAGCTTTTAAATAGTTGTCATAATTCTGCATAGCATTCCTGCAAATTAAGTCAAATAAATGAATCTGCAGTGTATAGCCTTCCATATGCAATCAAGACTAGTTCAGTGAGAATTCTCAGCTCTGAAAACACTATTGAGTTCTTTCCAATGGCGAGAATAAAGGGCTTTGAGAGGCTGTTCCATCTGCTGGTTTTGAGAGATATCTGTGATCCTCACTGTTCACTGGCCCTTTACTCTCCCCAGAGAGAAGCCGTGATTTGCACATAGCTGATATGAACAGGCGCGGGTGAACGCCGAGGCAGTGAATCCGTACGGGATGCAATTAAAATTCCTGAAATAAATCTCCTTCGCCGCTGCATTGACAGTCTGTGGATGATGCTGGTTGATGAGGTTTAAATAACACTGATACACAGAGATTAAAATAGACAACTGTTTTTGAAATTCAGATGCTAGCGGCGCACAATTTACACATTTGTAATGCAAATATTGGTGTTACTGAACAGGGTTATTTTCAAATCTCTCGTGCCTGGAGAGTCTCAGTATGCGTAGATAATTATGGAAGATATTGTGTTCCATCAGATGGAGTTGTCAACTGCTTTCCCAACAGCTTCACACGTTTCTTAATGGCTTATGAGATCTCTGGAGAAGTCACTTTATCTCACCCGTCCATATGTTATATGCTGCCACTGTGTTGCTGAGCGCGAGCTGTCGTCTCAAACAGACAGGCTTTAGATTGGACCGGCTCCCTTCACTCCCACACATTTCACCTCCATCTTTCCTCAGCCGCCTTGAGTGGAGCGCCGCCAGTCTCCCTCGTTTGCCTTCCAGCACTTATCCAAACACCCATTAAAGCATGTCTGTTTGCACAGTTGTATGCTTGTTTGCAGAGCAGTAAATAGAAGAACCGTTTGTGTCGTTGTCAGTGTTGAGCTCGATCTCTCCTGAACTCTTTTGCTCACACCTAGGGCTGGGTGATATTACCAATAGTCACAATATATTCATGATGATCAATCTCTGGTGATATAACATAATCAACACTGTGAATGACTTTAAATTAAAGAGATAATTCACCTAAAAAGTATATGTCTGTCATCATTTAATCAACCTCATGTCATTCATGACTCATTTGACTTTTTCCATGGAAAATAAAAGGAGCAGTTTGTCCAAGCTGCTTTTTCCATAAAATGTAAGTGTACAGAGAGCCAACTGAATCTTAATAGCATTTCTGGTTTAAGATTTATTAGCAAAAACAACATTTAAATCATTTGGTAAGTTTGATTCATTTCTAAACCTGTTCTATCTGTTTGATTTGATTCATCATTTAAAAAAAAATAATGTATTTCTTCAATTTGTATATAATATGTTATTGTTAAAATGCACTAGTGTTCAGAAGTTTGGAATTGATTTTAGTCCAAAACTGTATTTATTTGAAAATACAGTAAAACCACTGAATATTGTGAAATAATATTATTACTATTTAAAATAGTTTAATACATTTCAAAATGGAATTTATTTCTGTGATGGCAAAGTGGAATTTTCAGCAGCCATTACTCCAGTCTTCAGGGTCACATGATCCTTCAGAAATCATTCTGATATGCTGATTTGGTGCTCAAAAATGTCTTCTTATTATCAATGTTAAAAAACAGTTTCATATTTTTGTGGAAACCATGAAACATCTTTTCAGGATATAGAATAGTATAGAAAGTTCAACATTTGTCCGAAATAGAAATGTAACAGGTGTCTTTACCGACATTTTGATCAAATATTGCATCCTTGCTGAATAAAAGAATAAAAAAGATTTTTAACAAATTAAATAATTTTTGCTTTATTTTTAACTTCTTTTTTTTTTCTTCATTTTTACAAGAAACATTTTAAATCTATAGCAACTTGTGCTATATTACTGAAATGGTTTCTCTGATTTAAAAAAAAAAAACCTGTAAAAAACTACATAATTTATATCAAATATCATCAAAAACTTTTTTTTTTTAAAGACCACCAAGCCCTATTCGCAGTGTATTTTTTTTCTAGGTCTTTATTTTGATCAGTTGGCTCTCTTTCTGAATCTTTCTATCAGTTCTCTGTCCGCTCATCTCCTGATCTCACATTGTTCAAAGAACTAATGTTTTTTTCTTTCCCCCTTGTGCATTTTTGTTATAGCATTGCTTTAGGCTGATAGCTTATGTGGAAAAGTCGTGGGCAAGATGACTGCGTTCAATAAACTGAGCAGGGATGCAGCAGTCACCCGTCCTCTTGAGACACATTGCGTCACTTTCTTCTGCGTCTGTGTGGTGTTAATTTAGTCATGAGTCCTGGGAAAAACTAAAGTGCTGCCACTATTGGCCCAGTCGGCTGATCCAGAGTGACATCAGGGCGGGCTGACCTCTGACCTTGAGTCCTGACATGTTCTTTCTGTGTCTCGCTCTGGTCAACCGTACAGCAAAACTGTCAGCCAGAACTGATTGATGAAGCTTAGCGAAGGTCTAAATGATCAATTAATAGACAAGGAGGACCGCCAGGCTTTTTGTCAGTAATGTTTACTGACAAGTGCTTCCACTGGTTGGTATGTTGATATGTGGTCGTTCCCAAAATACACTCAGTGTCGCTCTGAAGGTGACCTAGAACGCATCGAATCCCTCAGTTCTTGCTTTCAAAAAGCAGATGTTTCCCTTACAGGGTTTGTTTGTTTGCTCTGAGAGAGATGCAAAGAATTATGAGCTTCCTGGTGTCATTTTCTCCCACTGAGATTGAATCCTGTGAAAAAGGTGGATTGCTTGAGCACATGAGCAACACTATAAACTAGTATAACACTGCCCTCTACAGGCAGCAGTGTGCAGAACACCATACAGTTCAATTACAGTTGTTCAAAGGTGAAATCAAAGTTTATAACTTATTGTGCAAGTTATTTCGAAAAGAGAGTCTTTGCAATCTTGTGACATCACCAATCCCTTTTTCTTTTTCAACCCTTCCCAGCCATCCGCCAAAGTCCGCTTTTCTCAGTCCAGTCAATTACCAATAAATAAACTCTCATTTAGAATAAATACAATTTTGCATTGCTTTTTTCTTGTTGAATATTCTGTTTTACTCAAACAAAAGTCAAATAGTGAAAGTGTGCGGTCAGTAATTGTTACAATTATTTTAATAAATTCATTTTTATAAGTTCTTAGTTTAGTTCAGCAGGGGTACATTAAAATTCATTAATTTCAAATAAATGCTGTTCTTTTGGATTTTCTTTTTTTAAATCAAATAATCTTGAACAAATGCGTCAGTTGCCATAAAAATATTAAGCAGCAAAACTGTCTTCAGCGTTAATAATAATAAGAAATATTTCTTGAGCACCAAATCAGCATATTAGAATGATTTATGAGTCATGGATACTAAAAATTCAGCTTTATTGTTTTACTGTTACTTTTTTTTTAATAAATGCAAAATAAATGCTGCCTTGATGCGCGTAATATACTTTTTAAAAAAGCATTACAGAATATTTTTAAAACCAACCCCAAACCTTTGAACAGTAGTGTAGTATTTTTATATATACTTGATATTTTTTTTCTGTTACCTGACACATTTATGAATGTAATTGCAGCTTTGTATTATCCAATCAGAAATGCTGAAAGCAGCTTTCTGCCCATGAGAAACATTTGAGACCGCACTAGCTGTTTGTCCTAACAGTGGAGGACAGTTGTGGAGACCGTTGTTATTTTTATAAATCCATTTGATGCTGCTAGTGATGCAGAAATTGCTCACAGCAGCGTTTAATGAGTCCAGCGTGACTCATTTTCTTACGAGCAGCATCATTGTCCAGAGTCTATTTTTGTGAGGTGAACTGGTGATTAAATAAAGAAGAGAAGAGAGTCTGTGCCTCTCTGAGGGCCCTTGTCTATTTCTGCAAGCTGTGAGGGAATATGTAGCCTGCATATTTTGGAAGTCCCATTAAAAGCGATGCTCAGTCCTGAAGTTTTAGTCTGAAGAGAATCATAGCTGACATGAAGAGAGCCTGTTTTTGTGGTGGTCCTTTTCTGTGGCAACCCATTCTGAGGTGTTTTTTCTGTCCCCTGTGCACAGATGTGAAGGGTCCGCCCAGCCACCGCTTCTCCTGCGGCCAGTCGCAGTTCATGGAGCCCTGCGCTTGGGAGAGGAAGTACTGCATCCTGACCGATAGCCAGCTCATCCTGCTCAACAAGGAGGAAGAGGTAAGAGCGCTCCTTCCCTGTGCTTTATCCCCTCATTCTTCTCTCTTCCTCTCCATCAGAATGGAGAGCGAAGGACAGTTAAATGAAGACACGCAGATGATGTTTGTGCTTTGTTGTACATTTCCCCTGGTAAGGGGTTAAATGCGTCGTTTGCGGATGTAATTTTGATTTGGATGGGATTAGTTTTCCAGACAGTTACGTCTGTGATTCGAATAAAATCACAAAGTAAATTTACCTGACCTCCTTAAAGGGTCAGTTGTTTTTGAAAAATGAAAATTCCATCGTCATTTACTCACTCATGTTGTTGTTTTTCTGCGGAACTAAAAAGAAGATATTTTAAAGAATGTTGGTAAAAACTGTTGATGGAAGTCAAAGGGGACCAGAAACTGTTTGGTTAGCAACATTTTTGAAAATATCTTCTTTTGTGTTTAGCGGAAGATAGAAATTCATGCAGGTTTGGAACAACTTGAGGGTGAACTATTTTGTGTGAACTATGCCTTTAAGGAAAACTAGTCCCATCCAAATTGGTCTTGATAGTTAGAGCCTCATTTTGCACAGTTTAATGATTTGTTCTCTTCTTTAATGAGTTCCAGCACATTACTCTTGCTGTGCAAGCCAGCCGATTTCATCTTGAGGTTATGAAAGGGAATAATCAATTCACTTAATGTATTGAAATAGTTTCTGATTGACGGATTGCTTTCAGATTCGTTTAAACGGTTAGTTAATTAGTAGCGCTGCCAGGAAAAGGGGCTTTCTGGCCCACTGTTAGAATGTGTACCCCTGTGACCTCCACCCACTGACCTCTGACTTCTGACTTGTTCCCAGATGCCATCTGAGGTCCGTGAAAGCCCCACAGCATCCTCATCAAAGGGTCGCAGCCTGAGAAGGACAGTTAGTGTGCCCTCTGAAGGACAGTTCCCAGAGTATCCACCAGAGGGAACCTCCATGTTAGGTAAGATTTAAAGTATGTGTTGTTTCTGTTATGATAGCAAAACTACTATTTATGCTCTCTGTCTGGCAAAATAAACACAGGAGTATTCAAGAGGAAACTTGAATATATTAGAGAGTTTTGATGGGGTTATCAGATAATATTAGTGATGTTTATTTTTTTGTTTGTCATTCTTAATTCCATCTATTTTTACATTTTAGATTATATAACACTCTAAGTTTATTTTTAATTTAACAATAACATTTAATAACATTAATAATGTGTTAAATAGTTAAAAATGATTTATATCAAATAAAGATTCTTTCATGTTTTTAATTAATATTGTCAAAATTTACTGTAACATTTCAAATAGTTTACATTTTTATGGTTGTGGTGCAAGAATAATGTAGACTTTTAATATCAGCCATGTATCAAAATAATTATCAGTTGAAGCTATTAAAAATGTAATAATACTGTTAAATGTCATTTTTATCAAATAAAGTTTCTTTCAGATTTTTTGTCAATATTGTGATGCCAATATTCACTGTAGCACTTTAAGTAATTATTGACTTAATAATTTATTAATAATACTGCTAAATATGTTTTTTTTAGATTTGCTATTAATATTGTGCCCAATGTTCACTGTAGCATTAAAAATATATAATTTAAAATTTTTAATGTACAAAAATAGTATAGAGATTTAATATCAGATATTTATCAGTTATCAGATATAAAATCAAACTAATTGTCAGCTTAAGCTTTAAGCCATGATTTATTTTTTTATGTATCAGTTTAATTTTTATAAGTATATTTATTTCTAGTTATGCTCAGCCTCAGACTAATTTTTTTATCCACTAGAAACTTTTCTTTTGCAGTCTCTTTAAAATGATTTTAATCATCTTTATCCAGTAATCATGAACAATTGGAAAGATCATTGTTCAAAAGGTTTTGAATTGCTGATTCAAACAGTCGCAGGACCTCTAGTTACTTCGGACAGAAGCTTTTTTGCTCTGTCTATAGGGTTTCAAAGATGAAGCTTATACCAGGGGATCAAATGGCACTCTTTTAGCATTTTCTGTAGCTTTAACATGTTGTTAAGCAAGCACGCTCACACTGCAGCTTATAGCATACGGATTTGTGTGCTAGCAGGCAGAGCAGTAGGTGAATCATGAATGAAATCACGTCAGTAGGTGCATTTGAAACATCGGAGCCATTACTCCTGAATCCACTGCCACAAGCACGAAGGATCAGGATAACAAAGCAGTGGATTTAACCGCAACACCGCAGGCTGGGCTTTGAAAAACACCAGATTGGGGGCGAAATATGCATGCTAAAAACTGCAGAATATTTCACAAAACAAAGATCAGTTTTGTATCAAATGCATAATTATTCGCATATATACACACCGCCCTCATTGTTACAACATGAGACTGTTTAGTCTTGCTTTTTTTCAGAGTTTATTCACTCTCATGTTGTTACTAACTTGTATGACTGACTGGCTTCTGTGAAACATAAAATAAGATATTTTGAAGAATTTTTTGTCTGCTTTTGTACATATAATGAAAGTCAATGGGGTCCAAAACAACACTGGACCCCAACAAGTTTCATTATATGAACAAAAAAGGATAATTTTCAAAATGTCTTATTTTGTGTTCAACAGAAGAAAGTTAAACAAGCTTTTAATGGCAAGAGGATATGTTAATGATGACAAAATGTAAATTTTTGGGTGAACTATCCCTTTAATCCAAACTGACACAGATGGGACGCTCCCTATCCAGAATTTTCAAAGTTCAAGTTGTTCTGAAAACAGGTTAATCATCTGATTCACCTCTCCATATCCACACCTTTTTCTCATAATGATTCATTATGTTTGGGTACGTTTGATCTCGCGACCTTTGTGGGCCGGGCAAGCTTGTGCGAGAAGGAGTATAGAGGAATGTAATTTTGCAGAACAAAACTCACTGTTGTTACTTTGTTAGTTTTCTCTCTCTCTTTCTCTCCGGACAGCGTTTCGTTCCCTCCCAGGCCTAGGGGGGGCAATAACTGAAGCTGCCCTCTGACTGGTCTTGCATTCAGTGCCAGTACGTGCGGGGGTGCGGACACTGACCCAGTGGGCTGGTTGCTAAAGGCAAATGAAAATGCCTTAGAAAAAAAAGAGAAATGCACAAATCTCTGTGACTAAGAGAGTCATTCATTCTCCAGACCCTCCTAAGCTGCACCGCCACAGATTCAGAGAAGAAGAAGAGGGTTATTTATATGTTAATGTTCGCTCTGTTCGACAATGAGACACTCCGCAGCCAGGGTGGTGAGGGAGAGTCCAAGATTTCTATGGCCATTCAGAACAGGTTGAGTCTCTAGAGAGATACTCAGTTTGTATGCTTTCGATCTGTGAATCATACATATTTTTTTTTCTGTTGTTGCAATGAGGAGAGATGTATCACTTATTGAAGCTCCAGCTCCGTCTTTCTTACGGTTGTCAAGACAATGAGGTTCTGACTTCTCTCACATAGCAAACAGAGCTATTTATGTACTTGCAATTAGGTTTGAATTGTGGATGTTCCTTCCACACAAAATCTGGTTTAAAAGATCAGATTCTTCTGCTGAACACAAAATAAGATATTTTTAAGAATGTTTCAGCTGTTTTTGTCCATACAATGAAAGAGGTCAAAAATAACATTAAACCCTTTGGCTCAGAGACATTTTTTAAAAATGTCTTCTATTGTTTTCCACAGAAAACGTAAGTCATACACATTAGGATCTAAATGAGTATGAGTAAATGATGGCAATTTTCATTTTTAGGTTAACTATCCCTAAAAATGCAATATTTGAAATGGCAACGTTCTCTTTAAACTCTTTGCTTAGTAGTAATGATGCATTTAATCGAGACTAAAATAGAATAATGGAGATCTATTTTGGTAGATGAAATGCATCTCATTCTATTGTTGCACTAAAGAATGTCCAATTGATTTAGCTATTTATACATGTTGAGGCGAGGAAGATGACTCAGCTTTACAGAATCCACTAATATCGGTCCCCAAGTCTGTGTTTCCCCCCTGAGGTCTTTGTGCAACATATTTTAGTGTTTTGTTGAAACAAATAAAAAAAGGATGAAAATAGTTCAGAGAGCGGTGTCATGGGGCATGCTGTCCTGAGAAATTCACATTTTACGTGGTGGGCAGATCAAAAGAACTTCCTGGCGTATTTAGGGCAAGAAAAACTGCTACTAGTGTGTTGATAGCAGAATGTTGTTGTTATGCTCGTTGGAAGAAGGAACAAAGTTTAAGGCTATATGTATCAGATCTATCTGGATGGCCATTATAGGAGTTATTATTATCAGCTCTTTCCTACAGTTTTCTCAGTTCATTATAGATGCACATAATTCTACTTGTTTGCTTTGGCCCTTTGGGTGCTGCAGTGTAATTTTCAGTTTCTCTGCATCTTGAATTTTAGATGAAAATCATTGTAATATTTGTACTGCAACTGGTCTTTTTTCTGGCACTTATTGTATACTGAATTGTGATTGTCATCTTGAGACCTTCATCTGAAGTTGCATTTTGGATTTTTCTCCTTAAATATGTTTTTAGGAAGCCACTGTTTCCAAAAATTAATGATGTTTATGCATATGTTGTTTTGGGGTGAACTTTAGAGAAGTGTAAAACTGCAAAATTGCAATGCTGGGCTTTTAGGGTTACAAAATTTCACATTTTCAAAATACAGCGATATGATTTAACTGTCTCAATGCTTTCCTAGCTAGTTAGAAGGCTGAAATTCTGATATGTTAATCTCAGAGCTTTCCTCTGTCATCCTGTAATATTCCTCCACCTCGCAGACTCCCCTATAAAGTAACTCTAAATACATAGTTATGAGCTTGCAGTGCAATTGCTTTGACCTCTATAAAAGCTTTTTCAGTGCGCTAGAAGACAGAAGCTTTAGTCTTTTCCTCTCAGAGCAACCATCTTGCACTCTATAATAAAGTTTAATCCAGCTATGATTTACTGAATTGGCTTGGTTGTGTGAATAACATTAAAATAGTTGACAGTAAAGTATGCATTTCTGCAACATTCAGATTCTATAGTGTCTCATATTTTATTTTTTGCAATGTTGAAGTATTTTTATCACTAAATATCTAAGAATTAGGGGAAAACTACAGATCAAATACCTGAAGATTGCTAAATTTGATCTAAAACAGCATGTTGTCAGTCGGCAGTGACCATATTGTGTGACTTTGGCATGCTGGGAGATTGAAATTACAAATATTTCCTTGCCAGACTTGTTGCTATGATACATTTCACAGTGTGAGCTGCTGTTATATGTAGCTTCAACCCATGTTAAGTGGAAAAATAAGCATTACTTCATTGATTTAAACAGCGGGTCCCAGAAGATAGTTAAATGATAATCTGTAGCATCTTAACACTGCAAACAAATTTTGTTTACACTGAAACAAAACTTAAATCCTAAATGTAAACTCTATTCTTTTTCTGTATTGCATCATATTCAGAAAATGTAAACATACAGTATTGTACTGCTTTCTCATGACTTCCATTCTATTTAATGATTTATCTTAAATAAAACTATGCTAATGCTCAGAAAAATAAATTTAGTTGTACATCCAGCTGCCTCACTTCCCCCATTCATTCCACTATATTGTTCTGCAGCAGTGAGGGTTTCCTGTTCTTTCTCACGCATGCAACAGGTGAATGTCTTTCTTCAGTGTTACACAATGAATGAAATAGTGCAGCCATATTTTTATATTTCTGTTCTGTTTATTATTTAGCAGGATCTGTAGCCTACTATATTAAGTCATTGGCACATCTGTATTAAAGGGGTCATATGATGCGATTTCAATTTTTCCTTTCTCTTTGGAGTGTTACAAGCTCTTGGTTCATAAAGAAGATCTGTAAACCATAGTTTTATTTATTTCTTCCTTTTTTCTAGTAACCATCATATTCAAAGCCTATTTGGCTTTTTCTTCGGTAGAACGACATAATTGCCAGTAAATGACTGAACTTTCATTTTGGGTGAAA